AAAATTTCATGTGATTTGCTCCACTGGGAAAAAAGTTAGGGCAAGTTAAAGTTGGCCGAATACTTTTGAGCGCTGCTGTATCTCTGGGTGGGGCATGCGCAAACAAGGGATAGCATCCTTCTATGGAGTTTCTATAACATTTTCTAGAACATTCCAGAAAAATCTCGGCTATTTTTTTGTTGTTTTCAGCAAGAACTTCCCACAATGCCTAATAGTTCTGCATGTCACTGTACCATAACCCACATGCATACAGTTTGCCTTCAGTATTTATTGAATAAACGCACATGCATGAATAAACGCATAATCTCGTGCCTGAGAAAAAATAATTTGCGTAGAAAAACCCTGTTTCGGGAAAAAAAAACAAATTATGCACCAAAGAGATAACTATACATGAGGGCTAAAATATCTCGACACATATTTGATATCGAATGAATTAAGTCCTACAATAAAATCACTACTTGATGAAATGCAAATAAGATATAGGAGTTTGATATATTGGGTTTTTAAAAAATCACCTACGACGCGAATAGACATTTCGGAAGCTCTAGAACTGGAACAATCAAGTGAAGATAAAACACACAACCAAATCTTAAAAGAACAAATAAGACAATCTCGGCAGTTGACTGAAAACCATCGAAAAAGTCGTATCATCAACTATCCATTTGAGTGTGAACTATATGTCTGAATCGACGGTTATGGCTACTTTCGAGAAGCCGCTCCGTCATCTCTTTCTGAAAATCATTATTTTCACTACGTCAATATATCTCGTCCAAAGACAACAACAAAAATAGAAAGAAGAGGTTAAGGGCCAGAGATACGCTATTCTAACAATTAGTCTACGGTCTACCACCCTTCAACCTGAGGAAGACCTACTTCGTCCCAGTCCCCTTCCTCTCAATCCTCCAAATTGACGCTTGCTGCAGTACAACCCTTGAACACATCCCAATTTGCGATGAAGAGGAAGCTGCTTCATTTCATCTATTTCAAGCATTCCCATCAATTTTAATGGAAGCGATGGCAAGCGTGCCAGCACCACTTTAATTTATATAGTACAAATGAACTACCACTCTTATAACAAAACTTATACCAACAGGTCTAGAAGTTGCAGAAAGTTCGTAGTCCGTCAAACTTCATAGACAACGAGATGTTTATCTAAGATCTTTCACGCCGCGCTCTGGAATACGTGGTAAGTGTAGCCCAAAAATTTCTCTGCTACGAACGGCTTAGTATTTTGAAGAAGTGCTCCACTGAAGCATTCTATGAAAGCTCTACAATAGAAAAAGCGGGGCGCCCAGAAATAGCTCAAATTACAGGATGTAGCGGACTCGGAGATCCACTTGCACGCTTAGTCTAATCTGCAACAATTTATTAGTTCTAAGGGGTGTGGTGCAGTAGGATCGAAATTGTCGTGTCGCGGGGAGAGAGGCGCCGCGCGCGAAGGAATTATCAGAATGCAGCAACAATTAAGAATTACAGGAACAAAAGAACTAACATTAGAATTATGCCATAAACATTAATCGCATAACGATTGAGCTGTAGAAAGAACGCTAGAACTTTAATAAGGAGGCGAATGGTCCGGGACAGCCGCGCTCGGCGAATCGATTATACAAAACCGATCCTACTGCACGTCTTCCAAATCTGAGGGGCCGTCCCAATGTAGAAACGTGCATGTCTCTTGACTAGATGAAAATCTACAAAACAATGAAGAATTGCGCAAACCTCTCCATCCAAGCCATCAGCTATCCTTTACTTAATATTACATTTGAGATTCAATTCATTCAGGCAAATGAAAATTCAAAATTAAATTTGAAAATCGTAACCGAATCATTATCGTTGCTTTATATATCTAATTAGGTTCACAATCAAGAAGAGAGTGAGCAAAACCTGTCAGGTGAATGCCATTGTTTTTATAATTTTGCTGGTAAAGCCAAACTTCTTTTTCCAACTATTGACAGCTTTATTTGTGGGAGTAAGGAAGTCATGGAGAAAAGGAAAAAACAAGGTGGAATACCACCGTTCAATAAGTTACATCCTATCAGCCTGGCAAATTGTTTTGGTGATAAAAAATACATGCCTTCAATATACAAGTAATAAACTTTAGGCAGCAGAAAGCCGTCTCACTATATCCTTTTTCTGAAAACTATAACGTCAATATTTCATAGCCCTAAAAATTCAAGTGTACGAGCCGTCGTATCCAGGAAGCCACTTCAGCGGAAAAGTGCAGACGGTAGTAGAAAAATTAGTGCCGTTGCGTGCGGCTTATAACAAATGCATGCCATTCGCAGGTCCCTTCACAAAAAAGGAGGCGCAGCGGTGACTCACGGCTTCTGAAGCCGAGAAAGATCGTGAAGTTCAAATAGTTGTCTTCCCATTTGGAAGTTGACCGTGGTCTTCTCACCGGCCTACCAGTTTCAATATCACATATAGCATGACAATCCCTTCATCAAAAATCACACCTCAGAGACAGCAATCATACACGATGCCCCTATTCTTCCTACTCTGGAAATTGGTGTAAGGATATTCGACTATTTGTGGTTACTGCCTGTCGTCGAAAACATTCTGAAAGTCGTAGCCAACGAATGAAAACCAGTGCTCTTCTGCAGAAGCAAAGCCTGAAGGTTACGTGACGCATGATTCAACCTAAGACAAGATGAACTTCCACACAAATAGTTTGAGGTTAGGAAATAAGTTTCTTGGGAAACCTGCGGGGAGGATACTCGTCGGTCTAACATCGGCTTTGTCAATTACCATCGCCCCTGTACCATTACCAAGCTAACAGCACGTAGCTCAAAATGTTCTGTGAGAAAATACAGTCGAGTTTTATGTTTGAACCGTCACGTTTTAGAGAATTAATCGTGAGCATTTTGCTTGCGATCCTTGAATTTCAGACCAACTTGCACTTAACTTCACTATTTAACAAGAAATCTCCATCAGGGAGAGTGAGAGGTTTGACAAGGCCGCACCCAAACAAATAATGAGAAAACATAATTTGCTCCAGCGAGGAAACCGAAGAAGAGCATGTGAAAAACGATGAGGTGGTTCAATATCAAACCCTTCACGGCGCATTATTAACGGTGGTGAAGATAGAAATGCTAAGTGACTCTGGTTCCTCCCCGCCAAGTGATCCCAATCTAATCATAATGTCAACAATAAAATCCTCCACCTAGCACTCCACAGTAGCCAAGAAATGACAAGGCAATCTGTTCCGACATGCGGACCGCCAAAAGGGCAGTCGTAAATCAACATGATTAATAAGTGATCGTAAACTTCACCAGAATTCAGAGAAGAATAGGGTTCGTTACGTGTGCAAAAGGCACAAGCGGGGAAAAATGTATCGACAAAACACCGAAAAATCGATCACAATTTCCAAAAAAAAAATACAAACAACAAATAAGGTACTGAAATCTGACAGTAGCAGATGTAGAGATGCTTTAGTTTTGCACTCAGTCTCAGAAATCGCTAGTGCTCTTTCTACAGGGAGTGAGTTTCATCAGAGGGGGATACCATTCAAGATTATACAAAAAATAGACGATCTTGAGCCCTGCATCATCAACACTGACCCAGTACTATATGTTTGAAAATACTTATAAATTGCTATCAATTGGGAGCATCTCAAGACGTTCCCAAATGAAAGTAACCGAACTTGTAACTATTGGCGCACTCATTTGAGTGTATAAATAAATAAATAAAACTTGAGCTCAGACGCCATATTTCATTTCATTTCAGACGCATTTCAGCAAGCAATCAGTAAGCACACGACAATTCCTATTCGAGCCTGTCTAGACAGGTAGCCTTATCTACGTACTCTGCCTAATCAGTAATTCGAATTGAACCTTGACCAAACCAAAAACGACATCAACATGCGGTGCATTGTTTGTAAACAACTTCCCCGTTAACCCTAGTGCTTAAGGATCTTCGAAACCATTCAAAATATCCTTCTACTTTTCCGAAAAAAAGTAATCCAAACTTACCAATGCATCCAATTCCTTTGAGGATACCATATTATGTTCGGTCACAAAATAATAAAAATGTTTGTACAAAGTGTTAACGTGCGGTTCCTGAAAAAACGATGCTTTTGTAACATTTTTACACACAATCTTCTACAACCAAGCAACACCTTTACACACAATTGTTTACAACGTAACGAGCACTAAATGTCCTTTAGAATTCGACGAAACCGAAAAAAAAGCGAGAAAAAAATAGTTGAAGAAAAGCAATTTGCCAAACCAACGGTTGAAAGGTAGCAAGTTGTGATTTGTGTGAATAGCACTCACCGCACCAATACTGACTAAACGGTCAAAATGGTGGATGTATACGTGAACGAAAACGCGGAAAAGGCGAGTAAGTATTTTCTTGCAGATCTGACGAAAATCCTTTGGAAACGGTACACCTAAGAAAGAAGAAGTGATTCACTAGAAAATGCCAAACGCCATGAAACATGGCGTCAAACAATATGGTCAATAAAATGACGTCACCCATCAAAAGGGACGATACAGAAGGAAAACAGCTTACCGTTTGAAAAAAAAAACTAGGAGGAAAAGGCTTACTAGTCGATGTGGGAAAAATTGCTTCATCGTTGATTCGAAGTTCGATCCAATCCATCAAAAGAACCATATAATCCGGTGCAGACAGCCTAGTCGGCTTTTTATATTCAGCACCATCTTGCCATAAATACTCGTATCTACAAAAACAATTTTAAAAAGCCACTTACTGAAAAAGTTTAAACCATGTAGGCCAGTGATTAGGCGAAAAAAATTATTTTCGAATGTCAAAATAAAAATCTTGAACAGATTAAACATCGTATGAACTGACTTAGATCCCCCAGACATTGTAGGGCAGGATTCTTTGGTGCACGCATCCGAAATTGTACCATACATTAGATTTATACGATTGAAGAAGTCCACAGCTGAAAAAAACCAAGACATTTGTATTAATGAGCAAGTCTACAAATAATTTCTCCACTCCTTTCCAGGAGTTCCGCGTAAAACGACCCCGGAAACGGGGATTCGGAAAGTCCATTAAATCATGGCTGCGCATACAAAATGGCTGTTTCCTTCTACATTGAATTATTCACCATTGATTCAATGATGTCACCTGAATACGAATTTCCATGGCAGCATCATCTAATACTTCAAAAAGGTTTTCGTGGTTCAGACAAGTGTTCGGTTAGAGATAAAGGGTAGCGTAGCCTGTGGTGGAATTAAGGTGGCATGTGCAGCTCCTGGTGCTGTGCTTCTTCTGCAGCTGTATGGGTATAAAAGTTTTTCCTTGACTTTACTGCCATGACAGACAGAGGCGAATAACGGTGATCATCTTTTGCTATACTGAAACTATCGCTAAAAAAGTATGCAAACATACGACTTGTGTGCAGTCGACAAGCAACCACTCGAAAGATGAGAGCTCCTTTGAATTCAACATCTTTGAAAGGAAACAGAAAAAAGTAAGGGAAACGATAGGACAGTACATTTATGAGAATTCCTTAAAAGGCATTCATTCCTCGTTTTCAACTAGTTATGACATAGGTACGTTTGGGCGCTTGGTCGGGTAAGTCACAGATCAGGAGCTTCAAACTATTTTCAGGTCCTGAAGACAACGATTCAGTCGAAACGTGACCCATATTGTGGTTCAGCCATAACAAACCTGTATGGCAGAATAATATAGAACATTGTATAAAATGTTCAGGTTTCAAGAAGACCAAAGTGGAAGTTGTTATAAATATACTTGATTTTCTGCATTTTCAATACATTTTTAACATAGTCAGTCCATAATCATCAGTCGACAAAGCAAATGTGCTTGCTGGACAGTACACTCACCGTACACTCATGCATTCCTGATTATTCAGCAAACAAAAGAATAAAGAACTCACTGTGGACTGCAATCCAGTCATCCAGATTTTCGTTTACTGGTAATCTTACTGCTAAACGAAGATCAACACCGGAATGAAGAGTAGCCTCTGCTCGCTTATGTAAATTGTATCGCATTGTTCCTTGTGGAAACCTTTTCTTTGGACGAAAAGTCTAGAATATATCCTATTAGATAAACAAAAAAACAACAACAACAATGTCAATAAAAACAATTTTAATCAAATTTTAGGAATCACCTTATGCCTGTGTTTTAGCATAAACTGCAACAAAGTCAGGACTTCCAGGAGACGACGCATGGCAAAAACCCAACCGTACCTTGGGTTTTGCAAGGGGAATATGTTCTTATTGGACGAAAATAAGGGCTACGTTCTCAAGACAAAACTTGTTTGGGTGAGAAGTGGGCCCTGAAGATCATAGCTGAACCCCGGATATTTTACCGTATCTAGTCCTGCTGGGAACTCCCAACGACTCCTAAAGGGCAATATACATTTTGCTTGTGTTTTTCCCTAAAAGGAAGTTAAAAATTCGATAATAAGATTGGCAAACTAACCTTTTGCTTGTTTACTTGTAGAAAATCAAATAGACTTGCCATTGCTTGAGTGAGTAGTGAGTACGATTTGTTAGCAACCGGGCAATCACAGAGATGATAGGCAGAACCCCATTAAACAAAGGGAGCGAAGGCGAGTCCTGCCGAAATCACGTAACAGAGAAAAGAACAGCTGACAAGCAGGTGACCGTAGTCGCGGAATTCGCACACGACCTTACGCCCGGTGACGACTGGGCTCCCGGAAATTGGACACTTTAACGTTGTGAAGAGAGCCGTTATTGATCCTTCATGAGATACTATGAATGGGAAAAGCACCTATTTAGGAGGCATTTGGATTAATATTAAATGAGGGGAAGATTCCGACTCTGCCCTATTCCCAAGCATGAACGTCTCAGATCCAAAATTAACGGAACAAGGAAACCATGGAAAAGAAAACTCAGCACGTGCACCAGGCTCCTACAGTAGCTCGGCTACCGGTACTGGCTCACTACTCCAGGTGAATTCCAGCTTCCCACCTACCCTCATGGAACCCTATCTCCCTGCCCTGTCCCTTTTCGGCGCGTCGTATATGTAACGGGTGAGAAGTTGCGTTCATATAGGGTTACGTCGTGAAAGGAAATATTTTGCCTGTAAAATTGTGCGTCCGTTGCATTTAATTCCACCCTGAAGAACTGTAGGAGCCAAGTGCCGGTGCTGAGCTTTCGTTTCTGTTAAAAAAATTTTGGCACAGAGCAAAGATTCAAAGGTTTGGCTTTACGGGGGCACAGGATGAAGTTCCAACACACACTGTAATCTACAGTAGTCCTAGGTAGTAAAAGTGAGAGTACATAAGACAATGGGGGTTCCCTTGCGGTGAGATGACCTGCAAGGGAATGACTCTAGAGAGGCCTGTTGAGGGGGAGGACATAATGGCTATTAATAGCTCAACAAACAACTTGAGCCCTCAACCCTTTAACATTGCTTGTACGGCTAAACAGAGCTCTTGAAAATCTTCATTTGGGTAGAGGGTATGGGTTATTATAGAGGGCGCACGTGGTCGGCAGGGTTTCTCGAAAGTAGTGGACAAGGTGAAGATCTGGAGCTGGTCTTCTCAAGGGTTCTCAGAGAATGAACGTTCCCTGACGATAGAAGCAAAGTATGTACATATATAGCTGTCTGTCAAGGTGTGGGTGAACTCCTGGTGGGTATAGGTGCATCCACCCGAATCTGGATGGACGCAGCACATTGTGAGGCGAGGTTCGTGGCCATTCGAACGACTCTGGCGCCTATTATTGGGCACAAACTTGAAGTAGAGTAGATTAGTAGGGTCAGCCGATATACTAACCTACTCTACTTCAAGTTTGTGCCCCAATAACAGGCGCCAGAGTCGTTCGAATCGCCCCGAATTTCGCCGGGTCCATCCAGAACTGGGTGAATGTCCCCTCCCCCATCCTCAGTCTGCGAAATCGCGTTTGTCAGCCA